CAGGGGGCGGCCTCGGCGGCCGCCGGGGAAACGCGCCGCGTTTTGGCGTTCGCCGATCCCTCCGCCTGTGATAGCGCTTGGGCAGTGTAGTGCCCGCGCGCGCGGGGAGGAGGCGGTAAATCATCAATAACAGGAGAGAGCAGTTTTTAAATACGACACTCAGAAAGTTCATTTGCAGTTGGCCTGTAAAACGCCCGTGGTGTGTTACAATTTAGCCGTGCCTTGCATGGGTTATAAATAATCCCCCGTCTCAGGCTTTGTCCATGAGTGACAACACAGCRTTACACACGGGGCCTGGTGATGCTGGGGCAGGAATGCTGACCAAGAAATACCCCTTGTGCCACGGCCAGGCGGTAACAGCCACGAACGCCACCCGAAACGAAAGGCATGCCACTGGAAATCGCACGTGATCCCACAGTGGTACCTTTTTTTTTTTTTTTTTCTGGAATCTGCCTCATCGATTCAAGTGTCTCAAGAAATACTTTGGTAATCGAACTCCAAAATAAACTACATCTGGATATTCTCGAAATCGTGTTCCTTGTTTCTCTTTTACACTAATTAAAAACATGTAGCTGTGAGGAACGCTTACAAATGGCTACTATGCCAAAAATAACTTTTCTTTAGAGTTTAGTTGTCCTTTGGATCAGCATGCAGGGAACTATTTCCTATCTCCATCCCTGCGGATGATCCCAGGGTTACCAGCAGTACAGTACAGCATTTCATTCCCTTCTTTATACTAATAATGTCATCTGATCTGACTTTCAGGTTGAAGGAAAAATGCTGAAATCCTTACTCCTATAAGACAGGTATTTATGAGAAGAGTTTTCACATCTAGCTTTTTTTTTAATGTTTTCCATAAAACATTGCAGATAATTTCATGCATTGGAATCATTTTAGTAAAAAGTGGCAGTCAATATATTTCCACAATTACAGCCTAAGAAGTTGAACCGTCAGAGGAATATCAGATACAACTCCTAAGTCCATATATTCTTATTTACCTGACGTGTCCAGAAAGACGATATCTCAGAATGAAGGATGCTGTGTGTAAGCCAGAAGCATTTCTGGCAACCTACTACAAGGGGATAAAGGGATAAGTTATTACAGCTCTGAAATTACAGAATGACTCTCAGATTTCAGAATGTTCGGAACTTGTGTTTTAAATATAGCTTGTGAGATCACTCACAATATACAAATCAAATAGTGATAAACTGAAAAGCTTTCCTACTTGACATGAGGAGTTGGAGCAAAAGGGAAAAAAAGACATAGTTTTGCTTCTCGATCAAAATTTTACCAGATAAATTTCTGAATTAAAATACTTTCTAATATGTTCATAGTTGACTTAAAGCCTTCCCGAAAGCACTGGTCACTTGGGGCAGTGCTACACTAAGCTGTTCAATTCTGATTGTTACACTGTCATACAACATTTGTAATGCTTCATTTTAGGAAAGAGAGAGAGTTGTTAGGCATGCCCAGAATCTCATCGCGTTAGTATTGCGTTCTGATGTTCTGCTCCTCAGAATCCAGATAGGCAGCAAGTGGCAGTTACCCCCTTGAATAAACAACCATACAGCATCTTTGGACAGAAAYCTGGTTTATCATTGAGCAAAAAATCCAAGTCTTATCCTGCAATAAATATGCCAGCAGTTTTTGGTAATGTTTGCAGTTATATTGCTCTTTTACTCGTATATTAACAGATATAAAAAAGGCCCCTCTTGGATTTTCACTTAAAATACATGCAGTGAGCTTGCTAACAAAATTAAAATACAATCCAAGTCTGTTACTAGGTAACTGGGAGACACAACAGTAACATTCATAATACTACCCTAGTGTTAATTACTTTTAGCGTATTAATTCCCTCCTCTGTCAAGTCAGTGGAAAGAGAAGTTCATCTTGGTGTGTTTCACCTGTGTTATTAAATACTCTCAATATACCTCGGCCAACATTTTCCCCTAATGAGCACATAGAGTTAGTCACACGTAATTGGCCTGAGTGGAATCCAATSTCTTTTGAAATCAATGACAGAAATTCCTTTGGACCTCTGTGACACAGGCATTTCATGCCTACTTTTCAGCTTTCGTAGCAGGAGTTATCGAGGCTCTGCATGTACGTAAAAGATTTCCTTAGATGTGACATCTGCGTTAATAATATCCTAATCCATGGTTGGCTCCAGTGTCGCTGACTGAGGAAAAGGAGGGCAATAGGATGAAATCATCACTTGCTATGAACACAGTTCTCAYGAAAGAAGAAGAAATCCCAGGGAAGAATGGGAATTTCTTCACGGCAAAGGTATCCACAAAAAGAAGGCGCACATGGTTATGCTGTTGGTGTCCTTTGCTACAAGATTTTTTTTTTCTGCTGTTTCTCTGAGCTGCATTTGGAGAAACAGCTGATTTCATGGAAAGACTTTGCTTTACAGTGTCATTTGTGAGGCCTGGAAAAAACATGACGCACAGAGCGGCTGCTTCCAGAATATTCCCTAATAATAATCAGGGAATGTTAATATTCCGGGGCTTCTGCTTCATTCAGTATTGTGGAGTTTAAATAGACCTTAAACAATCTCCGCAGTGATGAAGAGTAAACAGCTCTTGTCGTTAAAGTTTCTCCTGACATAATAGCTATCCCTGGTTACAGTGCACATTCCCGGGATTTTTGAGATTGTTCACAGGGCAAACTGTGGTCACAGCAACAGCTGGGGAACAGAGCAGCGTTCGCTGACGTAAAGCTGGGCACCCGCGACCGGAGCTGCTTCTAAATGGAACGTGTAGCACATACATGATTGACAGAGGGAGCAAGGTAATTACATCAGCTGGCACATTTATTAATGAAGAAGAACTTGGCTTAAGATGCATTAATGATACTATGAATAAGCATTTCCACAGCTTTATATATATGTGTGTGTATATATATATATGTTTACATATAATCAAACAATCATTCCTTCAGGCAAATATATTTCTGGATGATGGATTTGAGGAATTTATATTTTTTGTACATTACTGGATATTTAAATGTTTATTAATATGCTGAAGCTGATTTTTTAAAATAACAGAAAATAGCAATATATGTGTATTTCTATATTTATATGTGTATATGTGTATTTCTATATTTACATAGGCGTATATAAAGGATCTTCCAAAGCAGGAAAGAAATATTTATGAGCAGGGACTAGAAGTAACTTCCTGAATTGTCTTTAATCTTCTGGTGCCTGCAGGTGATCGTATCATATAATATCATTCCTCTTATAAGGTTAGCAAGTTACAGGTAACTTAACTCAGGACAGAGTTAACTGAACTTGCAAAGATGGGAGGAATGAACAGCATGGCCAAAAGAACCAGCCCTGCTCTTTCCTATTCCTGGTCTCTTATTTAGCTAGAGCATTTTGTTCAACCCTAGATGTACCATTAATGAATGTAAAAATAAGAGTTTATCAACAGTTCTGAGTTAAGAATGCAGGGTATAAAATGAGGGATATATCTCAAGAGTTTTGCCTCAAATTTTTCTGCATGGCTTCTGCTATTATATCATTTAACATAATGAACTGGCTGCACTAATCACTAGAGATGTAATCCACACTATGATATCATGTGCCAAGACTTTGTGGAGAAGGGGCTGCTGGTGATAAATATAGACCTTAATTCACATCTCAGGGTCACTGGCCCTGGATAAGTGAAGCTCTAAATGAGAGTTATGACTCAGGTCAAGGCTCATTTCTACTCAGGGAGAAGGGTAGACTGCCCCTGTAGTGGTCATTGTGAAAAGGGCTTTAAGATGCTGCTCTAAAAAGGGATCAGAAATGCCGCTCTTGATTTAAAGCAGTGACAACAATATGATGTAAACAAGCATGATAATGTTAGTTCCAATGTAAGGTTGAAGTAGATATTCTAATAGAACAGCAGGGACAGAGCCCTGACATGGACAAATTGTGAAGGAAATAGAGGAAACAGGCAATAGAGCACTACCAGAAACAGGAGATCACTATATACAATTACAGGAAATATTATGAATAGATTAATCTTGATAAAACCTGTAAGCATAAAATAACTGCATTTGAAAAAACGTGCAAGAGTGCCCACCCCTGAAGTGAAAGACTTCAGAGAGATAACAAGTAGTCAGCATTCCCATGTGCTGCTTTGCAACAGAAAGGTTTTGGAAATGAAGAATGATTCAAAAGTTATYCCTTTATCCTCAAAAACTTGGCAATACTTTTGCTCTCCCTTCCTTTCTTCCATCATTGAACAGCAAAGGAAGTATCACCACTTTACACAGATGACTGTAGCACTAAACCACATTTATGTAATTATAGGCTATTCCCTGGCTAGAAACACGAACTACAAAGAGCAGCTTTGTTATTCCACTGCTTACTCCTTCCTGTGGGAAAGGACTGTGGTTACGTTTTACATAACCAGCCCAGCAAGCCGTGTTCTAGGCCCGGCATTCAGGGAAAGAACCTAAGTATCTGCCCCAGTAAAAACCTACTCTGTTCTCAGCTAGTGTAGGGCTCTGTTCCTGCAAAGTCAGATCACAGCTATTTAACTTAGCCCTGTAATGGGAAAAACTAACAGACAGAGCCATTAGAGAGGAAGGATGACATCAGTTCATCTCATTAATGTCTTCTTCTGTCTGTGTAAGTACTTAGACTTTTCCTAAACTGGCTTTTGCATACCTACATGTACAATACAGATCGTACAATTATGATTTACAAACAATGTTAGGAAAATTAGGCTTTATTTACTCAGTAATTCAGAGAAATATATCTAATCTAGCTGGACCTCGGTAAAGTTTCTGATCCTACATAATATTGAACTAATGACTACAGGGATTATAATAACAATTAAAAGGTGGTCATGTGCCTTGCTATAGGAGACAACTGCATTTAGTGTAAAAGAATCATTAGGGTGAAAGAAACTTGYTAGTGGAGGTCTTCAGAGATCTGTCTTGGGACTGACTTTGTTTAACATTTTGATTAATTACGCTATCACTCAGTGTGCTAATGACTTCACTAATGACTCAAACAGCACTTTTATTACCAAAAAAAAAGTTTTGAAACATCATGCTGGAAATATTTGAAGACTAGAGATGGAATGGCTGTGGTGATCAGATGGAATTTAACATTACAAAATGGAAAAAGATCTGCCTAGTGACTAGAAGCATTTCTGCTGTAAGCATAAATCTTTGGAGGAAAATGATCAGGAGAAAGACCCACATGTGCTATTCAGTTGTGGAATTGCTATAGCTTCTAAGGCGTTGAAGCTTTGAAGAGAACAAATGGGATCACAGAATATAGCAGAGGAGAATGTATCTTCATCAGGAATACTATATGTATTTTTGGTCAACATGCTTTAGAGATGCTGCATTTTGACTGGAACTATTGCAAAGGACAGTTCAAATCATCAGTCCTGGAGATAGGACTGGGACTGTCTATCAAGAGAAGACTAAATGTTCTTGGCTTACTTAATCTAAAGGTTKAGAAGGGATGTGAGTGATCGCTATAAATACATCACAGAATAAGTACTAGGAAGTGAGAAGACCTACTTCAGTTAAATGACAGCACTAGCCAAAAAGAAATGGATGGAAACTGCCATGGAATAAATATAGTATTGGCTCACATGCTTGGCTTTTGGCTATGACATAATCGCAAATCATTCTACGAAAGGATCCTAATAATAAACTACTASTAGTAGTATGGTGAAATAAAGATGGCCTAGGAATGGAAGGGTCATTATGGTCTAACCAAAAAGTGGGGCAGTTTTTCAGTAAACACTTTGATRTTACTTTACAGTAAATCTCACCCTGCTCCGCTACTCCTTTGTTCCACACCTGAAATGATTTGTTTTCCAGAGAATGTGTCATTTTCTTCCCTTAAGTCTGTCTTTTGAGGGTGCTTTTTCTTCCAGATTGCCTAGTGGATTAATGCCATTAGTTTAAACAAGGAACAACTGTGTCTTATGTTTTGCTTGAAGATTATTGCTGCTTTATCACATCTGCAGAAGGAACTCTGTGTCTCGAAGTCTCTTCATTTTTCATTTCCAACAAGATCAGTGAGAATAAAACGGATTTATTGTATTTATATTAGCTCAGCAAACAAAACACATCAGAAAATGAGGAAAAATAAGAAATGCCTGTATTATTTTTGTTGTCATGGTTGTAGCAGTAGTTGTATGTGAGCTAACCATTGTTTCTGTTTTTTTTTTCCAGAATACACAACTCAGGAAGAGATTTTGGTTTGTAAGAATAAATTATCAAACATTCTTAGTGTATAAAACTTGGAGACTTAGTCAGAAATTAATTAATTCTTAATGATTTCAGTCAAAGGACACAGAATATGTAAAATATTCTAAAAAAAGAGGTAGTAAAAAAAAGTTAAAAAAAAAAAAAAAAAAAGAGGTAGCTGGAAGGGGAGAGGAGCTTTACTGTGCATTGACAATTGAATTGTAACACTGAAGTGAACTGAATATTTCCAGACTACAGAGATCGCTCTGCTTTCAGTATGGAAAACAACAACAAAAAAAACACAGGCAAAACAAAAGAAACACAAAAGCTTTGCTATTCCATTCTAAGAGCAAATGCTTTATTTCAGCCAACTAATAGAAGGGTATCTTGGTTTAAAAAGATGGTATGTGTGCCTGCAAACATCTGTTCCTAAGTGGACAGGTTCACCTGAACTCATGGTCAGGTTCATCTGAACCCACCCATGAGTGGTAGTGAGAACCAGTGGTGCTGCTGGAAGAGCCCCAAGTCACCAACCTGCGATACAACAGTCTGATCCTCCAGAAGAGAGAGAGTCCAGCTAAGCAGCAGAAGAACAGCACTTCTGGAGAGACAACACACAAATCAGAGGCTAGTGGGATCTAGCTTTCAAAGACTGCAACTAACCTCATTTTCCAAAGTCAARGTTAAAATACCATAGCTTCCATTCAGGGAATTTGATGAATGAAAACAATAAATAACTTATGTTTATAGTCTTAAAAGGCAGATGACCTTGCCCAGACAAGACAATAAATGTGTTTCCAAATAAACAAGATTATTATGACTGCAGTAGGTAATTAAATGTGAAGCATCAAGCTACTTAACATAAACATACTACTTAGAATAGTAAGACCAAGCCCTAATCACAAATAAGGTAACATACATGAAATATAAGGAAATGGTTAGATTTTCACTAGCAAATGTGAAAATCGTGGTTGGTGACCTAGATCCCCTAGTAGGTTTTGTATTAAAAGGATATATGGTGTTAACAACAACTTGCTTAGCCTCCCCTAAGTAGTTTCCATGCATCATAAACAACACTGATGATTTTTGGGGCAGGTTTTGATGACATATTATGCCATTGCTTGTGTTAATACATTTTTGTCTGTGTTTCCAATGGCAAATCAGTTTTCCACCAAACCACAACACATACTTCTATATGTTATTGTTGTTGGAAGGGCCTCCAAAGCACCACAGATTTGGCAAATCRTCTTTCTAAACAAAGTAACAATTTCTGCTTTTCAGTCAAGAACTTGAAGTAGTTTTAGTTTTTACTAAACTAAGAGGAAATGACTGAGAATGACCTCAAAGCTACAACTGTCAGTTAAAGCTGTTAATGCAGCACATGTGACTTTAAAATGTAATTCCTCTTTTTTGTATTGAATTGAGCAACATTTGTGCATGTAGTAACTGGTCACATGTTCTGCAGCATATCTCCCCTTTCTTAGCAATTAGATTTCACTAATATAGGTAGATTAGTTTATCTCTTTTCAACTCAAATGAGAACAAAACTAATAATTATCATTTGTTAGTTTCTCTTTCCTACGTCTTCTGTGGATTGGATTAAATTAAATGGTGTTTAGAGATTGAAAAAAGAAGTGCAATTAATAAAATTCTTTTMATTCTTGAAAACTGGAGGCACATTTTTCTTCTAAGCCATATGAATCCCTGAGACCTTTTTGGATTCACAGACCTTTTAGTAGTCTTAATTATACTGATCGAAACATTGTCAACGGTGCTTTATTTAGCACAAAGGAAATTAAATGTGTAATCATTTCAGGYCCGTAATGATTATGTATCACATAGAACAGTCATGGCTGGTAATCTTAGCAAAATACAGTTTCAGTAGTAGCATCCTTCCTGTATAAAAGTCTTTCCTGTTTCCATTAAAAAAGCCATTAGTTTGTGCCTATATTTATAGAGGTGTGCGGTATTGCTCCTTGTTCTTAAATGCTTGCCTTATTTTCCAAGTATAATTGGAATTCAAGCAAAGCTGAAATGATTTTCAGTTTGAATATTATTAATTAGGGAGATCAAAGAGCACTACAAATCAAATACAGCACTAAACAAATACTCTCTGACATGCTTATATCAAGGCAGAATTATGAGAAATATTTTAAAATGTATTTCTTTTTATATTTTAAAATGCATTCTTCTTTGTTTCACATCTCATACTTTCTGATATTGTCTCTCCACAGACTAAAAGAACATGAAAATAAGAATTGTTACAATGAAAGCAAATAGGCTACTCAGAATGGTTTGTTCCATGTTGGACAACACCCACCCCGTGGCCTTCAGCCCTAAGTCAGATTAAGGGTTTTTATTCATCTACCTGCGGTACCTAAGTTGCAACCCAAACCTTTGGCTTTCCTAGGTTTCCTCATTTTCTTCTTTCTGTTTAAAATTGCTGTCTGGATGTCTCATGGCTGTTTTCAAGCACACTAGAAGAGTGTGAAGCAGATGAAAAGTTCAGAGTGGGMCAAGTTTGGCTAAAATCACTGCATTTCACTATGAAGATGTTTCTTGACCAAACAATTCTGCATAACACATGAAATCCTCTTAAGACTATTTACTCTCCAGCATTTGTTATTAAGTAAGTCTATGTTTCCTTCATGTCTCCAAAGTAATAGCCCTGCCCCTCTTATCTTAAACAAGAGGCAGTTGTGTTAAATAACCCAAAGGCTCTTGAGCAATTGGTTGAACAGCAGGGGCAAAAAAAAAAGATGTCACTAGATAATGTGCTGGATGAAGGAAAAATGGAGGGCAGGTGTAGCACATGTGGAGTCCGAGCTGGTAGAAAACAACGTAGCAAAAACACCGTCGCCCAGGTAATGGGATGCACGTGAGCTGAATTAAGTGGCCTTATACGATGAGACAGGCTGGGAGGAGCGTTTGAGTGTGCCCAAACGGCCGCCAACGCTGACCCAACGCGCTCCGCAGCCGCTGCCTGGCGACCGTTAACGGCAGCCACGCCCCTTCCTGTCGCGCTGCCGGAAATGGCGTCACCCTGGCGGGGCTTCGGTCGCCATGGCCGCGGGCGGCGGCGGCGGCGGCACCGCCGCCATGAGCGAGCCCGCGCCATGGGCGCCCCGCCTGGCCCCGGAGACGTGGGAGCTGCTGGCGCTGCCCTGCGGCCTGGACGAGCTGGAGCCGCAGGGCCGGTGAGGCGGCGGCGCCCAGTTTCGCCCCGCTACCCGTTTAGGCAATTTCACGGCGTTCGCGGCGCCCTTGTGGCTCCAGGGGCTAATGGGGCTCACACTGTCCCTTACCGAACGCTTCTCTTTCCTCTTGGAACAGTCGCCTCTGTGAAGCTAACCCGCTTGCCCACGGGGTCGCAGTTAACCCGTCCCTGGGGGATTCAGGGTCTGGCTGTGCAGGCTGAGGCAGGGCCCCTTCACAGCAGCCCTCGCAGCCGCCTCTGTCCGCAGATTCCCTCCACTCACACACAGGCCGGGAAACGGCAACAGCAGCTCGGGCACGAGTGCAGCGATGGGTAGACTYGCTCCCAGCTGCGGTATGCCGGGCTGCTCGCGAAATGAGGAGGATTTTCAGAGCACCTGCAGTTGAAKGCTGTTACTTTCAGCAGCATGTCCAGTACACAGGYCATGTACAACAGGGCAGGAACGTTCATTTCTAAGAAAAGGCGTTTTGACAGGGTCGAAATACCTTGTTTAACATTTGAATATTCTAAAACTTAGGCAAAAAAGGCTAGTATATTAACCTATAACAATCATAAGTGTGTTTTAGAGTATGGTAGTACATCAAAACATCAAGTGTAACAGCTCCCAACTGAATCCTAAATGCAGGATTTCTGGACTGATATATTTCTCTGCATGACATTGACAATAATCTGTTTCCTGATCAAACATATGTCTCTTTAGCATTCTCTTTTACATTATTATTTTAAATACTCTAAGTGTTGCTTGATACTACATTTTTATGCAATATTTGATTGAAAACAGCCACCTTCAGAAAACAAGCATACCCTAAGAAAAACAGTCTCTGAGTATGTTCATTTGCTCTTTCAGATTCCCCTTTCATCTGAAAAAAACATACTTAAGTGATAACTTTACCTCACAACATCCATTATTAATACAAGACCTTATTAAATGCAATTATTAAAATGTCAAGCATTTTTCAAATCTGTCTGTTTTTGCAGGCCTTGCATTTCAGATGACCTAAGAATAGGATATTACATCACAGATCATGCTACACAAACAGATATAACAGAAATACCAGAACTAAAGGAGCTAACAGTTACCACGAAATCTTTAATGGAGGTAAATCAGGAAAGTATTTTAAGAGGGTTTTCGTTATGCTCTAGAACGTGTAGTTTTCTCAGTGTCTTCTCTGCTTTGTGTAATTCTTAAGAAATGTGTTTTAGCTCTTCTGTCTTCATTTGGCCGTTTCAGCCAAATTGTGTATATATTTATTATTTTCAAAGTACAGTATTAATTAACTATTGATAGATGAAGAGAGATTGATAGAGACTGAATTAACCTGCCTGCATGAGACAGAAAACACTACATAGGGATTAACGTTGTTTAATGTACAAGAAAACATAAATGTAAGTGAAAATTCTAAAGACTTGTTTAATAGCTGCTGAGTGTCTGGAAACAAATGTGTCACTGATGCTTTGCCTAATGTCAGATGTGAAACTATCTAGTAGTGTAGTACTTCTTTATCAAAAATGGCATATTCAAAAGCAGATTAGCAAGAAGACCCAAATGGTATAATCTACATATATAATTTAACGTGGACTCACCGAGTTGTAAGGCCCAGCCTGAGGGGGGAGGACACGCTTTTGAGTGAGGAATAATCCAGTCTACATAACATAAAAGCCTTTATCATTGTGAGGAAGGGTGAGTGCCCCTAGAGACCTGCACAGAGAGATCCTATCCACAGAAATCAGAAGTTTCTATGTAAGTCTGATTATTTACTGTGCAGAAAATTACTAAAAAAGTGCTTCAGGACTTCTGTGAACAAAAATACTTTTCTAGTAAAACCTTTTCTTTCTAAATTCCAATTGATGTGTCCGTAGAAAGGAGCTAAATTCAAATGCCTTTGGTGTTACTTCTAAAAAACAAAACTTTATCCTCTCTCACCTCCCTCAAAGACTTCAGAAAAGGTAGGTTATTCTTCTAAGTCAGTGAATGTAAAATCCATTTTCTCTTGCCCTTCCTGTGTCACTGCCTGTTAAAATGCAGCTATCATAGTTCTTTTTGGCATAAGGTGCTTTGCAGAGTATTGAATTAGAGTTTATAAACAAGTTTTGACCACTTTCTGGTCTTTTGTTTTGATATCTATGTTGATATGTCCTGCAGAATGCAACTAGGTACCACCTGGCAGATTGTTGAGTTTTGCTAAAGTGCGGGGAGGAAGTGGAGAGGAGTGGGAAGGTGTTGACAAAGCTAAATATTTTTACTGCATAAATCTTTTCTATGTGTCAAATATTGAACTCAAATATCTTTAAATTATCCAGTGTTGAAAGGTTTGAGGGGCATTGCTTTTTGATTTGACAGAGAACACACTATACTTCTGGATACAAACAATCTTTAAATCCAGAATCGTCTCTCACAATGTTTCCTTCCCTTTTACTAGGACTATTCAAAGTGTGTGTAGCACAATGTAATGAATGTCATACTTTAGCCTAACTTTCGTATAGCAAAATATTCTCTAGTATGTAAATAATAACAGGATTTTGGTTTTCTTTAGCTCATCCGTGTCCTCCAGCAAGATTTCTTTACCTTTAAAACACTCGTTCAAGCACAGTATGAAGAACTAATTGAAGAGCAGACTTCAAATCTCTGTAAATATATAAATGACAGACTGAAAGACATTGATTTTTTTCATAAACGGGTAAAAAGAAAAATTCTTGTTCACTTACATGCTAATTTTCACTAGGTACCAGTTGTCATTCATACACCCTCCTTTTCCAAATTGATATGATACTGTACATTATGAAAAAAAATTCACAGAAGTATTGTCGATAAGGAAATAATGAGAAGTGCTAATGCAGATATCAAAATGACTTTCCAAAGTGTCTGTGCAATTAATATGGGTTGTATTGTACACTGCTTATTAACAATCTGTCTATGAAAACATCTTAAATGGCACCATGACACATGACACGACACATGACAAAAAATATTTTGCAATATTTTAATAGACAAGAAATTTAGCACACTTTGTTGTATGTGTATAAATTATTTACAGCTCTTTTCCCATGTATTTCTTTTAAAATAGCTATGCAGTGATCTTTACATAATAAATCAAAATATGTTCACTGGCATGAATGTTACTAAGTAACCATGTTGCAAATATATGGTGTGCAGTCACTAGGGGAAAAAATGTGTGAAGCAAAGTCTGCTTCAAACTTCTGAGATGATCATGTAAGAAAATAAAAGTTTAAAAAATGGTACGTGATTTCCTATGTTAAACATTTGAGACAGCCCTTCTTAGACAAGCACTCATTTTTGAAGCAGTTTAGAATCCAGTTTTTGCAGAGAAGAGATACAGTTTGATAGTTTGGCTAAAGTCTTGAAAAGAGGTTGAAAAATGTTCTCAGCAGTAAAGGTAATAGGAAAAGGTGCATTAGCTTTTTCTTATTTTTCTTTAAGTTGAAGAATTTAGATAGCATTTAATCCTTAATGAAAAAGAATAATTTTTTTTATTGTTTGTTTCCTTTTATTGCACATCAAAATTCTCAGTAATTTATTACAAATTGAATTGCAGAAAGAAGTCCAAATTCGACAGAGCTACCAACAACAATTGTGTGATGCACTGGCTGTTCTCAGAGCAAATATCGAGGTGGGTTTTAACCAATGAAGTGGTAGTAGACTGCCAATCTGCATAATATGTTATGAACCAATTATAGAGATCAGCTTTGCACTTCAAAGTCTGGAGAAGGATGTGTTTGATTTTTTTCATGAAGCATTGAAATCATTTTAAATAGAAGGAAAACAAAAGCTTTTTTTACAAGCACTTTTTTTTTCCTTGTACTAATGAACTATGCAGTTTGACGCACTTAAGCATAGTCTTAGATGAGTAATATCATGGTATTAGAGCATGAATCTTAAGTATCACTTATATATATACTTATAGTATATATAAGTATCACTTATATGTAGTATGAATCTTAAGTATCACTGGAAGAAGGGTTTTTTTTCTTTTTTTCATTTATTGTGTACAAATAATTGACCACAAAATTATCAAGCAGTATAGGATTAGATCCAAATACACAATTAACACTTAATTTTGCATTTTACTGGGAGTTGTAGAAAGAAGTAGGAGCAAATGAAGGGATATCCTGGGACTACTGGATACCACGAGGGCAAACTTGCTTTAATTCCCACTCAAGATAGCTCTAAAAGGTGACTGAGGTTATCTTCATGTAAGAATATTGTCCGCTCCAATGAAAAATGAGAAGCCCTCACTTTTGTAATCATTAATTTGCTGTAGGTGTGCATTAGGTGGTGATAGGCTGTGCTGATTTTTCTAGGAAGTGGAAACATGGTAACTACAAAAAAAAATTGTTCAATCAAATTTTAAAAAATGAAAATGTCTTGATACATTTCGTAAGTTAATTCTCAGACCAATTAATAGAGAATAATGATTAATCATGTCTTCTTTAAGTGACTTTATACTGCCCTCTAGGGACCATGCACAGACAGATTCATGGACATGCATGTCAACAGATGACAGGATGTTTAACAGTAAAATAATCCACAAATTCCAAAACATAGAGCCTTAATTTTATCTTCCTTCCTTGACTTACAAATAGAAAATGCAAGTTTGTGCTTCTCTACCAAAAAAGTCTATATTTAAAGAAAAACACTTATGTGGATATTTAAAGGTGACAATATTTACCTAGAATTATTCTCCTATTTTTTATATATACAGTATAGTCGAGTCTGTATGGATAGTGGGAAGTGTGTGCCATATATTAGCAGCATCCACTCTACAATACAACATAAATAAAAACATTAAATGCAGCTTAGAAGGAAAAGAGAAATCCAGACATATAAAGGGGCAGGAGAACCATCTGCAGTAATGCAAGCCTAAGTGTGCGTCCAAAACTGTTTCCTCAGTGCAGTTCGTAAGATCACTGCAGTAAAACATCCATTTGGTTTCCATGGAGAGGCTGATTGCCTTGTTCCCACCAGGGTCTGGTTTGCTCTCCCTTTGGAAGATCTTGCACTGAGCTTGCATTCTTGTGCACAATGATCCATCTTCAGCAGCAGAGGGAGAGCCTGGCCCCATCCCACATGTGTGTGTAGCTTTGTGGGTAAGGAGCTGCATGAAGTAAGGGGAACTGAGTTTAAATCCACTGTGGCTGTGGAAGAACTTGGGCTGCTGTTCTCTCAATTCCTAGAAAGGTACCATTTCACAAGAGAGAATGGTTAGTAATGCTAGAATTAGTATTTTCAGAAAGTTGAGCAGTATTATAATCATCTAACTTTAGAAAATACATTGAATTAGATGCCTAGGTACAGTRAGTACTCCCGGAAAAGAGTGCTCTTGTAATCTTAATGTTTCCTGATGGCTGGCTGTTGGCAATGCACCACCTTGGAGCACATTGACAGAAGGCAGCATGTGCTCTTTTCTTAGAAGGTGCTTGTCTTTGTCTTTCAATGAAGCAGGGAAGAAATAATCCACTGAGGACACTTAAAAATATATATAATTTTAAAACTTTACCAAGGCAATCAAAGATGCAAAAGTAAATGTCAGTAATACGGTAAGTTATCATTTGAATAGTCTGTCTTGCTATTCTCTACTTTCGCCTCATTTTATCTAGTTCCCTCATTTTATTCATTCTTATATTTTWTAGATAAATTCTTAAAATGCTTGACAATATGTAAGAAATGCAATACCTCCAAATTTTCACTTTGCTGTGTGTCTGGGTTTCCTAGTATTACCTACTATATATTAGATATAATACGCTTCTGATTTGAATACTTAAAATATGATTGGATATGTTCAAATTTTTTATTTGCTACTATAACAAACTCTAGAATATAAAATATGTGTTAATCATGTCTTTGAATTACGAGAGTAGTCTGTAGCTTTAGAAGAAAGGGTGGCCTRATTCATGTTGGCTTCTCATTGAAGAATTTTTTCCCATAATAGAAATATTACAGAATAAATGAGGAAGACACAGAATCTCCATCAGCTGAATTTGTGAGGGCTTTACGTAACAAGCTGCGTGAGGAACAGTCCAGAATTGAAGATCTGGAACGAAAATTGCATGAATGTCAAGAAAAAGGGAAGGATAAAATGGTATGTTTTTAAAAAGATCATAATTATCCAAATCCAAAAGATCTCATTATCCAAATGTGATCTTGGAACACTTTCATTGTATATTTTTAATCTCATTATGTATTTATAAGAAACATTGGACTCTAAAGATACTAAAAAGCTATTTGGAATTTTCCTTGTAATTAATAGTTAATTACTCTATTACTCTATCAATATTATTCTATTGTCGTCATACCAATTTACATCAAGTGATAGTCTGGCCAGGGGTTGGTTGTCATATACTTTTTCTATATGTAATAATAATAATAATAATAATAATAATAATAATAATAATAATAATAATAATAATAATAATATAATTCTCCTCGATAAAAAACTACTCTCAGTGCTATTTTTATTCCATAAATGAACTTATCAATTATAGAAAAGTCCACTTTTAACTAGTACTTCCTAAAATAGTTAAAATATTTCTCCCCATGTGTCCTTTTGTTTCTACTGTCTCTAAATAACTTATTCTAAAATAAATGTCTTCATTTTTTCTTTGAAATTCTGTCAGTATCATTTAAACCTGCCAATAAAACATCCAAAGACTAAAATATTTCATGTTTGATTTTTTTTAACCTCTGCAATGGGAATTCCTGGAATATGGTAATTACTTACTGCAACGATTCTTAGACACAAAGGCTCTTTTTAATTATAAGTCTTTTTTTCCCACCTAAATAGAGATAWAAATAGCTAGTTATAGTGGCTTGCCTATTCAGTTTTATGCATTCAGTCTCTGACTTCCAAATGGGAACCASAGAATTCAATATGTCACAAATGTTCGTGTAATTCTGATGTCTTCCACAACATAAACAAATCCTTTTCCTAACCAAGTTAACTATATTCATCTCCAGTTCACTAAAATGTGAGAAAGCTCTAACGCTTCGTGAAAACCTCAGATATATTTTAAGTRGTTTGGCAGTCTTAGGTGCTAAAGAGGCTCTTGCTAAGCCTAACATGGGATCCCCTCACACATTGTTTCTAAGCTCCCTATACATCATCCATATAGGTAGCATTTCTGAAATACTRCTATATCTGATAAAGCCATCTAGCTGTGGAGGCAGCCACCCAGGGTGGACAGTATGGCCTCTGAAGAAGAAAGCTGAGGTCTAAGGTATATTTTATGAGGAAACTAAATCTCTTTCCAGCTGGAATGCATAGCTGTGCAGCCTCTTCCAGAATTAGGTATTGAAGCCGTATTAGTCTGTCCTTGARTACAGAAGAAAGTGATGGTTATTCTTTCATGTGACAGTCCACAGCTACAGCAATCAGTARCAATGTTTTTATCTGCCTTGTTTGGATCAGAACCAGTGAGGCTGTTTTGCTTTCTACTTGTAGAGCACCAAAGTRGATCAAAAAACATATAGTAAAAAAAGTATAGCTTCCACTGAAAGTTAGATGCTAAACTTCTCATTGTTACCAAAGCTCAAGTCGTTGCATAGCTGCACTTAAACTCTCTTGCAGCCTCTTCTGGTAGAAGTTCAAGCAGTTGGAGATTTTCAGTGCTTGTAATGCAGAATCCTATAGGATTTGGATCCAGATTTTGGGCTTTGTGCCTCTTTACCAAATCATGTATGTATACTGTGCAGTGAAAGCCACTGTACAGGTGCTGTAACCCCCCGCAAAGATCAAATAGATTGAGATTACTTAATTGCAGAATTTGAATATCTTGCCAGTGGTTTATACAAATGTTTATATGAATGAAAACAAACTCTGACTCTTTGTGTGTCAAAAAGTTCTCAATGAAATAAATGCCCATTCTCCCTCCAGAGCTATACAGTCTTAAATCTTTGTCCAGCCCTGACATGCCTTACAAAGGCAAGCAGAGCTCTTTTGGGCCAGTGGTAACTTGTTAGTCCCTTCCTACTGSTATTGTATTTTAAAGGTGTCCAGGGTTATCATAATGAAACTTATCATAACGTCATGATGAGTCATCTTGTATTGGCTGCAAGATGAAACCAAATATGAGAGTAATTGATGAGATCAAAGGAATGAKGGCGTCTTGATCTCTAAAAAAATCTACAAGTCTGGAAGCCCTTTCCAAATTTGTCCAAATTTGTAGAAACAAAAAAAGGCATTTTTCCCTTACGACTCCAATGTGCTGTATTTGTAGATGAGATTGAGATGTGATGTATTTGAGATGTTTTTCATGTCAGCTTGTACAATTGCACCCTCTGGTGGTATAGATTATGCAGACATAAATACCTGGAGTGTGGTTTAGATAGAGAAAGGTACATAATAATTTGGATGACAAGTTTTCAGTCATCAATTTTGTTTTCTTTTTTGTTCATTTGTTTGTTTTCAGGGCAAATGCCCAATAAATGAACAAATAAGTTTATCTTTTTAAGTGAAATATACCCAAATAATTTAAATGTTGATATCTTCAGATAGCATCAGTAAAAGGCATTGTATTTCTGTACAGTAGGTTGTACAAAAGACTGCAGAAATCTTACTTGTTATTAAAACAACCGATTAATTATTTTGAGTATATACTAAATAGCCAGATACCAAAGGGAAATACATATTTCTCAGTAGCATAATAATAGCTACATATTTTTGCCTTTGCTCAGAGAATTAGCTAAAATGCAAAATGCTCTCATTATAGGGCAATGAATCCAGCTTAAATTTCTTATGTTTCAAAATTATCCATATGTATATAGTATTTTATTGGAAATGTAACCTGAAGAGTCTACAATACATAACTTTAGCAAACATATAGAAGAAGTTATTACGGCCAAAATTTACAGTTTACTGTTAAAATTTACTGCTTAACTGTAAAATATGGAGAGTTAACCCATAAGGTGAGGAAAATTGAAACCTCTAGTGTAAGCCAAGTTAGAATCGCCCTCCAAACTCTAGCTGCTCTCTTCCCATTTCAAGTTCCCTGGCTTAAGCAAGCCAAACAGTACCGCTGTGGGCAGATGGTAGAGAGCACATTGCTACAAAACCTGCCACTCAAAGTGTAACAGATGACTGTAGCTACAGAAAATTGTCCCTTTGTTCCTTTTGCTAATGAGTGTCCTCATTGCAGCGGGAGACTGAATAGTTAATTATTTGCAGTCCTTGTTCTGGACAGATGGGGGAGCTAGAGCTAAAGGTTGTCTAAGCACGACATGAAAAAATGGAAAAAATATCGTCTGGTGTGTTTTTCCTATCTTTTCCTTTAAACAGTAAAAGATAAGACTTCAACTGTATTTGGTATGCCATTTAAAGTTAATTCGTATGATTAAATAAAATTATTTAACTTTATTTTATGATAAGGACCAATCTTTTGATCATCAGCTGTTGATGCTCCAGTGCTGCCAGGGCCAGAGAACCAATGGCTAAGCCTATTGAGAGCTGTGGTAGTTCCTAAAAAGTCTTCGGAAAATCTGAATTTGTTTTGTAACTGGCTACTGCCGGGACTTAATTACTCAAATATTGCATAAAGGCATTATTAGCAATGCTCATCTCCCTAATTGTCTTGCTTCTCTGGCTACAGCACTTGCTAAAAGCCTTTAGTAAAATCATGCAATTCACAATTATCTCATAAGTTTAACTCAACATCTCTTATTGCATAAAAATATTTTAAATAGTATTTGAGGTATCTGATTAGCTTTTTTTTTTAAAAAAAAAAGCTATACTATTAAAAGTAGCAATTTTTGTTACTTTTTATTGTTTATTTATTTGTTACTATTTTATTATTTAGTACTTTTATTGTACTACTGCTGTTTCTTCAGTCAAGGAAGGGGAATCACAAAATTATATGATGTGTTGCCTTCCAAAGCACTTGATTTTTTTATTTATATGATTTTTCATAAAATCAGTGAAAAGCTTGTGGCCAGAACTCAGGGTAATACATTGATAATTTGTCATGGTAAGTCAGAGATCAAAAATGTCCTTTATAAGGAAAAAAATAGTTGGGGATGAAATTTTGCTCAAAAATATAGTTCAGGTTTGTATGTCACTTGAAACCCTTGGAATTTTATTTTCAAAGTTCTTTATCATTTTTATTTTCTGGTAATTTTAGAAAGRATTTAATATTTTTACCAAGCAAAGCAAGTAATATCCTAACTTTTCTTTTTTTAATCAAAGTAATTGCTGTGTGACTCTTCTCTTTTGTGTTAATATTTTAAATAGCTTCAGGAGTTAGTTATTATTCTGGTATTACTATAAGCATCTATGCCAGCTCTGAAAGCTTTTCTATAATTTTAAAAGAAATATGTGGCAGTAAAATCTAGACAGCCATAAGACAGTATATTCAAATGTTCTCAATAGCTTTGAAACCAACAAGAAAAAAAGAGTAGCTGTCCCAATAAGCTTCAGTTGCATAAGAAGTCTTTTCCATAATGGACGTGGCAAGATTTAAACAAAGGGCACGCATAATAAAAATGTAAATGAGTTTGCTTTACTAAAACTATAACTTTAAAGTCCTTTGTTGCGTGTTATCCTGGAACCTTCTTACAAGGTAATCACTGTTTGCATAGAGATTTAAACCGGAGTCTTCAATAGCATTAAACCCCTGCACGGTCTATGTGTGACAGGCATGCAAAGCCGCGCTAATGTTCAGAATATGAATTGCCTCTGGGTGGCTCCGGCACCAAGTGGAAAACCAACTGTGTTGATATCAGAAGGCCTGATGGGCTCCATGCGGCTCCCAGCCTGCAAACTTCACCGCCTTGACGTGTGATGTGCTCCTCGTGACACTGGCAGCACTGTCACCGCGCAATGGCACAAAGGCAACAAGCCCCCCGCCTTAGCCGTGCACTTTGCAACCCCCTGGTGCTGCCCGTCCGCGCTCTCTCCTGCCTGCCTGGTTACGGACAGCGCCTCGTGAACACAGAGGCAAGTGTGGGTGGATAGGCCCCAGCTGCCTTCCTGGACACAGCCTCCATAATAAATTGACCTGAATGATGAGGGCACGCAAACAGTATGATATGCATTATTCCTGTCAATAAAACGTCCCCATGTGTTATGGTCTTTGTATATAATGTACTGCAGCCTTTCTTCCAGCCAGAACCTATTTAGAGCCTCAACTTTCTTCTATTCATATGATGTCTCTGTAATAGAATTCAGAAATTATATGATACTGTGTTGTATAATATTATACCACTGTAGCGTATTTAAATCCTTCGGCCCTTGCTTATAAATTCAAGACGTCGCCATCTTTCAGGTTGCCTTTGAAGATGATGACCATGAAAAAACAATGCTTGAAAAAGAAAATGAGGATTTCAAAGAAGAGATTTCTGAACTGCACAATAAGATTTTTCATCTCGAAAGTGCTCTGAAGCGCTCTGAAAAAGAAAATTGTTTATTAGGTAAAAACTTTAAACTGATGCTAGAGCAAGACGACTAATTTAAATGCATTATGTAAGAAATGTTACTAAACTTGGAATTCATTGTTAACATGCTTCAGACAGTTGGCAGCTTATTTCTGCACTGCTATCTTTTTCTGGTATTGAATGCTAATTTTCTATGTATTTGTGGAGAAATTCATACATATTTATTCTAATTTTAATGCATATATTAACATATTTTTAATTTATGACAAAGGAATATTTGCTATGGCTTTTGAGACTTCTAATATTGCCTAGCAATGTGGCTAGACTTCATATTTCATGACAGACATATACTGTAAAGTAGCTAAAATAGAAAGGTTTTGTATGCAGACCTTTTTATTTTAATCACAGTCTGCTAATCTATCTCACCCTTAGGAGGTTGTATAAAAATCTACTCTTTTATACAGCAGTTTCTGTGCTTCTGCAAAATATTTGAACATGCATTGCTTCACAAAATTTGTTTTTCTGTGGAGGTTTTCTAACAGAATCAGTTTTATCAAATAGGCAATCACTATTTTGGGTACTTATACTTTAGAACAGTTCTGAAAAGGAGTTTCTTTTTCTCCAATAGGTACAATGTGCAGTTTTTGCTTTTAAGTTACCTCTCATATATTGCCAGTGTGAAATATTTAGTGGATGAAACTAGAAACTATGGTGATAGAAGAGGATTTGTTTTTTTACTATTGTTCTGCCCAAGTAGATTAGATCCAGTATCGACCTGAATCGTGGCAAAATGAATTTAACTTAGGTGATATTCCTTATTCCTGTTTATCATCTGATTAAATGGTACTTCTCATCTTTTGATAGTTTTGTATGAACTGTAAAGAACCACCTGCTAAAGCACTTTGTATTGGCTGTGACTAACAGCGAGGATATCCAGAATTAGTATTAATGAAAAGCTGTGGGCACTCAGTCACACTTGGCTCTTGAACTTACTTCTTCATCTCTCTCCGACCAGCCGGCTGAACAGCAGGAAGAAGGCTGTGAATGTCAAGGGCGATTGTGAAGGTCACCGCTCTGCTAGGACTCGCATCCAGTGTGACTGAGTGGGTTTAGAGACTGACCTGCAGCAAACATTGTGAATACACTGGTGTAGGCACGTAATTTCATGGTCTGCCTTTTGCTTCTCTTGTTTTCAGATAAGCAAGTTCAAAGAATGCAATTAAAACTGGAAACTAATGAGCGAACTATTCAAAAGGTACTGTAGTTTTTACATTTATGAGCTGCTGTCCAGGTGGAATAGTAACAAGCTTGAACCGTTGGCAATGTATAGACCCAATAATGCTGGAAAATAGACTTTAACTTGAATACTGTTGCATTTTGTTTTATGGTTGCATAACTCATTGAAGAGTAATAATGAACTGGCATTCCTTCAGTGAATATGGTCATTTGGACTTTCTCATCCCATCATATTGCTTGATATTCTTAAAATGCAGTTAAAATTCAGAACCCCGGTAAACTACAGTAAAATGAGTTGGATACTTTAATAAAAAATGAAACACATTCATTGTCTTTTTAAAGGCAAGATTTGTATATGTAAGTAACTTGTAACATAAAGCAAACAGTAATTTTTGATTACCTGTGACTTGAGATATATCCCTCTATTGCAAGCCAGAGCTAATAATATATGTGAATTATTACTCAAGAGCAAAACTACAGTGAATAAGGTATAAAAGTCAACTTTTAAATAGATTAAAATAACTTTCCAGTGCCAAGGTTTATTAAATAGTATCCTCAAAAAGGAGTTGACAGAGCTCAGTGTTTTTCAGTTTCATCTAGTTATCCTCCCAGTAATCTATTTATGTTATGACAGTTCTCAAATGGCTTTCTTCAACAGTGTATAGGTCTCTGAATTCTGAAAATTTAAAAATAGTCACAGAACTTCCCAGAAAGAACCTTCTTTCTGTGAAACATTTTCAAAGAGTTTTGTAGATTACTCAGATTAGATTACTCAATTCTACTAATCCACAAATCTGCATGATTTCCTCAGACATTACTGAATTCACACAGAATTCCATATAAAAGAATTATTTTGGTGACAGTGACCAACACACTGGAATTGTAAAACCATCCTTTTCATCGATTTCTCTTGGGAACTTAGATGAATCTCTCTTCTATGACCAAATTTCTTACTCTGAAAATAGTGGTATATACCTATCTTTAGGTTAGCATTGGAATGTTAAGTTCATTAAGTCTTTAAAATGACCAAGATCTCTTGCTGGGACTAACTATGAAATGCTGCCCAGTTTATTCCAGATGGAATTTGGAGTCTGAAACCTCTTCCTTTGCCCAGACCATAAAGTTGTGCTCTAGCTGTGATCGACTGCCTCTCTGTTTTCTCTTAAAGAATTGTAAGAGATAGCAGCCACTGAGTTTTTCATAAAATGCTAAATGAAGAACATCTAGAGCACTAGCTCAGGCTACTGGCCTGAGAACTTGATGATGTCCATCAATGATGGCATTGATGAACTTGAAGATATTTGAGTCTGTAGCTTCATATACCAATGACTTTACTAGTTTACTTTGTGTTTTGTGGGAAAACATTCTTTAAAGCTGATTTTATCTTTGCTAAATGCAAAGGTATCAAGAGATAGATTATCTGGACTAATTACTACCATATGGATAGAGAATTTCCTAAAGATTTGTTCTTTTTTCCATTGAATTACTGCTGAGTATTTCTGGAGTTTGTGTATGTGCATAGTGTGAGTTTGTTGTTATTGTTGTGTATTACTTTTTAGTCATTCATAATCTAAAGTAAAATACAGAAATGGTCTATTGAGTCAAACACTCTCTTTCATATTGAGTCACAGCTTCGCAATGCAATGAAGCTCCTGCATGAGTATTCTGTATCTTGTCTCATGAATTTCATATTCTTTGTGTCCAATGGCACAGCTTGAACAGAACTGGTGGCTTATTCTCTTCATAGAGTGGTACTTGAGCTACTGTTCTAGGACCTGGGAAGTTTTAATCAAGCACCATAAAACTCCCAGAGGCAGAGACTCTAGCATGCCCCGATGTGTGGGCAGTCTAACTCCCAGGTTAGTTTGCAGCAGGAGAGCATTTCTCCATTTTTGTGAGAGGAAATGAATGTCAGTGTTGAACTCAATATTACCAGGTTTTGGATATGTTTTAAGTGAAAATTCAGGAAGCAACAAACTGAGATCCTTGTGACACTGAGAAATATAGATGTTTAACTTGCAAATTCCGGATGACAATAGCTGTGACAGAAGCCCTAGCTAGGCAGCTCAAGAATAGCAGAAACTATGGAAACTGTTTCACTTTACTGTGAAATGGAGCTGTTCGAATGAATATGATTCTGTAATTCCCAAAGAATTCTGCTTAAATTGTTCTTTGGGCACAAACCTTTGTCTTTGGTGACAGTAGATGTGAAATTTGCCTGACAGAGTTTGTCTTACAATGATTTCTTAGAACTTGCTGCAAGTGATATAGAACTTGCTGCAAGATCAGCGCACTGATCTTTCTACAGAGGTGTAAATGCAGGAGTGGACTTATTCCTGCAATTCCAAACTTCCACTTCTGTTTGACTAACAGATTTCCACAAATATCTACATTTCTGTTTTTTTTTAAGTCCACACAATCTCCCCGTTATTTTTTTATCTTCCTACATCCTCTCACAGAACCATCTCTTTTGTTTGAATCTTAAAAACTGTACGTTTTGTATGTTTGACTTTCGTGACGTTATCAAGCCTAACATAAAAGTATCTATCTTTAAGTCAAACTATCTGCCTTTTTCCACTTACAATACTAAGATATGTATATCCACATGTAGTCTCTTGAATAGGGGGATTATGTGTAGAAAGGATATTTAGAGAATGTCTGTAATAAGAAATCGAGCATTAATTCTTAAATGTTTATAATGTTTATATTTTTAGTTAATTGAAATTCAAGACCAAATGAAGGAAGAAATTGAAAATGAAAGATCGTTAGTTAAGAGTCTGGTAAGATATTTATGTATACTTTTTCATAAGCCATCTGCATTTGCAAATCTAATAAAACATACCAATTCCTCTTAAGGTCACATATATTGAATATAGACAGGAAAGTGACTTTTTACATGTGAAAAAATAAGTGAGAAAACTACATTTTTTTCTTGCAGAATTTTGAGAAGAACAGAAATTTTTTTTTTTTTTTAATGATACTTTGTTTTAGGAAGACTTGTGTTTAATAAACTTAGCATTATTTGGAAGAATTATCTGGTACTTTTTAGAAATGTCATAGGCTCAGAGGCAATTATATAGAGGGTTTTGTCTTAAAATATTTTTGTATTCTGCATTAGTCTCATAAGAACACTGCCTTTTATTTTCTTTTTACATGAACCAGGAACTTTCCAGACGGCTGCTCCTTTATTTTAGCATTTGACTTTTTTTTTTTTTTTCCCTAGCCTGATTTCGTACTGGCTTTCACACTGATCACCACTAGTATGTCTTTGTTACAGTAAGCTGACTGGGTTTATTATAATAAAAAATAAAACACAGCTTGACTTGCAATCTAAATGTGCTGGAAAAGAATATGATACTGTTTAGAAGAGAAAAGGTTGTGAATAGAAAATCAGTACCACTTCAGTTATTTAAACATTTGCTTTTCTGCAGCTTGTCAAACGTTGTGCCAAGTCATAGCTGCTTTACTTACTTTGTTTTGTTAATCTCAGCACCATGTGTCTTAGACTTTTTTAATAGGGGGCCAATCCTGCAGTCTTTACACAGTTTTCAGTTTCAGTGACTCTGGGCAAGCACTGTAGGACTGAACTTTTTAAAATTAGTCCCCCAGAAAAATAATATTATAGGATTCTATTCTTTTAACATAGTTTGTGAATGTAAAAAAGTATAAAATATTAAATATTAATATTACATAAAGATCAATGAAAACCTTCATTTGACTTCATAGTCTATTTCTGGCATAGATAGTCACACTTCTAGTGTTACTTCTAGTTTTGTGCTATCCCAGAGTTAGTTCCTACTTTTACCTAGAAATGCTTCATTGGGAACCTTCTTGGATGAACTGGGGACACATAGTCTGGGACTAGGAATAGGCTAGGAATAGTCAGAGCTCAAAACAAATGAGTGCACAGAAGTCCAGCCAAAGGGCTGCAGGGACTTTTAGGTGAGGTTTGGCCTCATTCTTCTCATTGCTCCTGATTCTTACCGAGTTACAGCACACAGTTACCAAATATCTAAAACATATTTGTGAAGTTGATTCTAAGGTCTTTCAGTGTACTGAAATAAGGATACTGAGAACATGCATTCATTAATTCTGAAATGCCGTGAGGATATCCTGAGTAATCTGCAATATCTCATATTATTTAACATGCAAATTTGGAAGACTTTATCTTTTAATTACATATAATCACACAAATCAGTATGAAATACAGGAAATACAGCAGCAGCACAGTAAGTGAGAGCAGTAATGTGCACAGTGAATGTTAAATAACACTGGAAGCAGAATGCCTGTCCTCTGGGAAACAGAAAGGAAAGAGTAGAGTCAATGAGAAGTTACATGCTTTGCTCATTGAGACCTCGTGTTGATACTCTGAGTGCATACAAATGTGGAAAGGAAAGATGGAGAAGCAAGAGAATAAAAACACTCTCGGGGCACATAGTGCTCGAGGGAAAGGGGAACGAGCATGGAATGTAAGAAGTAATCTGGAAGTAAAGGTTGAATCGAAAAATATAAATCCTATGATATAAGACTGATAGGGTTTACATACTGCAAAATGTAAAAATGTGCAATGAAAAAAAACAATGTAAGAAAGCAGATTCAATAGCAAAGTATTCCAAACAATAACAGAGTTCTGAACATAAATTGTAGGGAAAAACATATTAATTTGTTTGTCTCTTCTCTTTTTCTGTTGTTTAGCTATTACATTCATATTCAGTTTTCTTTTGCTGTTTATAAATGATGTTTTGCGTTCCTGTCATGTGAGTAAATAAATATAAAACTGAGCATTGGTGGGTAGTCGCATAGAAACAACTGGCTTTGTTACGACTCAGAGCAAGCCAAGAAATTGCTGTCACTTTCAAACAATTTTAACAGACCCAGTTTGTTTCCAACTGTGTTTTCTAAGAAAAAGCATTCAGTATGATGTCTCTCTAGCTATCATGTCTACAGATGGTGAACTGTAAAGCATTTTGTAACTGCTATAAAGTGCTTCTACATTATAATACTGATGTACGATATAATAATATAATATAATATATAATACTAATTGGTTTTAAATGACAGAAAGGTGAATGTCTTTAGAAAAATATGACTTGCTATGTCCTCATTTTAATGCAATTTTCAATATAATGCTGACAATAGTCTTTTTTTTTTTTTTTGCTGAGTGGTTTAATAGAGGACTGTTGTGTTCTCCACGCCTGAGTCATCAGTTTGATTCAGATTCAGCATTATAGCAATAAAAAGAATTGCTTATGGGCAGATAGTTCAAAGTGGCTTCAAAGTGTTTCATTACAGATTGTAATCTGATTTCTTGCACCCAAACCTAAGGATTTAGAGAAAGAAAGTGTGGTCTGCTTTACCTGAGTCCGCTTTACATTTAAAGGAATTCCTCTTGTTGTAAGTCCTTCTACACGCTTGCCAACATTTGGAACCCTTTAACTAGAAGGATGTTTGAGATCAATAAGGAGACATCTTCTATCATTTTAATATAGTTTGAAGGCTTCCCATTAAAAATTGTGATTTCTTCCTTGGTAAGTGATTATCACTTTAGAATCTATAACTTATTTGAGATAGTTGTTTGAACTACTTAAAAACTCACCCTTAAAAACTCTACTATGAGATTTCTGAATGTAATCATAATCAAAGAATGTCTTTTGTCATCTGTGTCTACTACTATATCTTGTCATGTGCCAAAGTTGTGAGGTTGCAATGACATCAAAGATAACCTATTTGGATTTCTCTTTCACTATATTTCAAAGATTTTAGAAAAATATTTGGCTGATACATGTATATACCAGCCAAAAATAGACTACATAATAATAGCAAGAAAATAAAAGTAGAGAAATATTTTAAGAACTTTTTGTTTTCTTATTCTTAAAGTTAGGTTGAATTCAGATTTTACAGGCCCTTTATTTGACTGAAGAGAGGCTGGTATCACTGATCTTTGCAAAATTTCAAATAATAGAAAAAAAAAAGGCAAGGGAATACATAAAGTTAATATCTAAATCAATATTAATCAGCTTTGGGTTTTGAGAGGAAACTGTATTTCCCGCAACAATTATTTGACATATCCTATTAATCATGGTTAGATTTGGATATCTACGGCATGCAGTGAGAAAAGACCATATGCTCAGATAAACCAGCAAGTCTAAGTTAGTTGAAATATGTGCAATGTTTGAAAGTGATATCTGATTGCATTATTACCACATAAATGGTATATTGCTTTAATTATCTATTTGCTACCTAGATTTATGACTCAAGATGTTATACAAGGATTTAATTTATATTCATATTTAATAGATTTGATATCATTTAATTAATGATACTGTTTTGACACTCATCAGATCTCTAACTCCCCAAATGCTTTAATGATGCAGTAAAATCCCAGCAGCAGCAAATAATTTCAACAGAAAATCAGCCTCCCTACTCCCTCAATGTTTTGTGTCCTTTTAGGTAGAAAGCCTAGCCCTAGTCTTTTCTAGTAGCCCTATCAAACATATTTTTGCAGCACCCCCAAAATGGCAAGATGTTCATCTAAGGGATAGTAATTAATTTCTGGAATTCTGGATACACCGAAAGGAGATACTTTCCAGCTAAACCTTCTAGTGAGTGGGAAAAAAAAAAATACCACAACCGAGAACATACAGTATAGGTAAAGGAGCGACTCTACAGCCTACTCATGTTTTGTTTTGTTTCTAATCAACTAGGACTAACATTGTAAATTCTACACAAGAAACAGTGGACGTTCCCTATAAAATTCAGAATGTCTGATAGAAGTTCCCAGCAGGGAGGCAAACTAGTTAACTTAGGATCTATTGATGGTTTAGATCCAGCTGTGGCTGAATATTTTCCAATTTGTTTCATTCTTAGGACTAATAACACCTTTTTGTTGTTTCTTTTTTTTTTAAAAACTGGTTCAGAGTACATTTCAAACTACTTAATTTCAAACTACTTAATATCAGGGAAAAAAATCCCATTTGAAAAGGGAAATAACACATTTGTGAATTTGGTAATAATATCTTTAATGCAGTCTATGGATTTTTATACACATCTGTATGCAATAGGTCTACAGCTGACATATTTATAAGGTGCTAGTCTCCATTTTCTCTTTTTATTTTTTCTTATTATTTTCCAATTTCTTAATCTAACAATGTTTTCTTCAAGACTGCAGTTTAAAAGAAAACATTTTTAAATCCCCAGTCAGCGTTCGTCTGAGTTGCTGACAATACAACTTGAGTCAAATGATACTGTCCATATCTAGACATTATTTGAATATCCTGATAGATATTTTTGTCCTTTTTCATTCATGGATACTCTGTGAATTAATACAGAAATAGACATTCTCTGTTGCTTTGTGCAAAGAAAGCTTGTGTTTTGAGATCTTGATTTGAGCTATGATTCGGAAGAATTTATCCAGTTGGAATCTAGTAAGTTTGTTATTTTTTTAAATTGGATTTCCACTGAATTTTTTCCTTGGATCTGATTCAGTAATAACCACATGATGCTAATATCAGCATGAGAGAGACAGCAGAAAGAAGTGGCTACCAACAGTGTGTATTAAAGTGACTGTCTAATCACTGCCTGATTTCTTCTGCTCTTTTAGAACCTAAATGTATTTTCAGTTTCCTCATACCTGTGTTGTGTCTCTCTGATACTATGAGGGATTTTTTATTGGTGTTGGTGAGGTTTTTTGCTATTTCACTGTATCATCATTTATTAGTTTCAAGATATATACAGAA